AGTCTAGCCTGGGCAGCTTAGGAAGACCCTGTCCTGGAGGGGATAAGGGGGATGTAGCTCAGAGTGAAGGCCTTGGGTTCAATCCTCAGTACTGCCAAAAAACAAAAGAAAAAAGAAAAAACAAACTCATACTTGGTTTAATGATCTTAAAACTCTTAACGATTTTGGACCAAGGAGTCAAGATTCCCCTTTTGCACTAGGTGTCACACTTTTTTTTTTTTTGAACCGGGGATTGAACTCAGGCTTGCCAGGGAAGCTCTTATTCCACTGAGCCATCTCCCCGGCCCTCACACATTTGTAGACAGTTCTGTTGTGGGCTACTGCTATGACTTAGACCTAGATGACCCCCCAAAACCTAAGGAGCTCACAGGTGACTTTGGGGAGAGACTGGATCATGCGGGTGTGATACTGGAATCATCCATGATGGGTTTAGCATAGTTCTGGGTGTGGATAATAGATTTATGAAGAGGGAAGCCCCACCCCAGGTGTGGGTGGCACTGACCAATAGGCTTGCAGCCTGGATGGAGTAAAAAGGGAAAGAAGCGGGCTCACTGCTTCCTGCTGGCCACACCATGAACTGTCTCTTCTTTGCGACACCCTTCTGCCAGGTCATCTGGCCTGGAGCCAGCCAACTACGGATCAAAGCCTCTACACACTGTGGGCAAAACAAGCCTTTCCTCCTCAGCCTGTGGCTACCAGGTGTTTGCTCCCAGCAATGAGAACGTAATTCTGCTGTGCCTACCCCGTCCCTGGGGCACGCTGAGATGGCAATTGAGACTGGGCGTGGTGGCGCATGCCTGTAATCCCAGCTCTTGGGAGGCTGTAAACAGGCAGATCACTCCAAGTCAGATCTAGTAGTGAGAATCTGAACACCCTGTAGACCCTTCCCTAAAATACAAAAAAAAAAAGTAACTAACATAGTTATGAAGTAGACATCTATCTGCCCCCACTTGATTTGACTAGCAACAGAACTTATTGAATTATCCTTCTTTTCTCCCCACTGGCATAGATAATAAAGAAAATGAAGTGTTCTTATTGTAACACCTCTTTGCTATAACAATATGCCTTATTTATAGTTCTGCTTATTTTTATATTGCTTTCTACATTTAAATTTATTATTCACTGTGCTGACTAGTATTGTTCCCAGTGAGATTCATCTCCACGGACAGTTATGCTGTGGATTAAGTATTCTGAGGTTCTTGTAAAAGCACTCAAGTGTAATTGGTTCATAAATTGTTAAAGAAGCAACTGTCTGCTGACTTCATTATATGACATAAGCCTTCTGCAAACACAATCCTGGAGGTCTAGATTTTCAGCTCCCCAAGAAAGTATGACAGGAATAACCATGCCCTTAGTTCAAAGACCTTTTCTACCAAGGAGTTGGCAGTTAGTTCCCGCTGGAATTATAGTAGAGGACAATGTTCTGTGAGCTCAATTTCATGGTTTTGGGGAAAAATTAGACATGAGGGAGCCAAGGAGCCCCCTTTTAGGAGCTCTCAAATTTGGAATGCCTTGATTTCCTAAAGGCATTAATTAGCACACATGCACACGGCCTGAATGCCAGAAGACATGCCCCATAGATTCCCCTCAATCCCCACCTCTTTTCTCAGTCCTAACTGGTCTGCAGGCACTTTCCACTTCACCTCACATCATGGAGCCCATCTCCCTTCCCTTTCTGTTGCTTTTTCCAGACAGGGTTTTGCTATACTGCCCAGGCTGGCCTCAAACTCCTAGATTCAAGCCAGCCCCCCTGTTGCAGGCTCCCGAGTTGCTGAGACCAAAGGCAAGTACCCCTGCAGCTGCCTTGGGGAGACTTTTTTTGTGTGTATTTTAGGGAAGGGTCTACAGGGTGTTCAAGGTCTCACTACCAGATTGGACTCATAGTGATCCGCCTGTTTACAGCCTCCCAAGTGCTGGGATTATAGGCACATGCCACCACGTCCAGTCCCAATTGCTCTCAGTGTGCCCCGGGGGGGCAGGGCCGGCACAGCAGGCCTGAGGATCAAACCCCTGGCCCCTGCGCCTGCTTGCAGGCGCTTTAATCTGCTCAGCTATTTGGCCGGCCCTCGAAAGACTTTCTTGATGCTTCAGGAGGCTGATTTGGCTTT